CCCCTATCGAGGCCGATGTATAGAAAACGTAGATATGTATGAGCCATTATTTTTCACCAGACTGGAGTGGACCACCAGACTGCCATTAGCAGTCTTGTGGTCCACGGACGTCTTGTGGTCCACGGACGTCTGGTGGTCCACGGACGTCTGGTGGTCCACGGACGTCTGGGGGTCCACGGACCACTGGGGGTCCACGGACCACTGGGGGTCCACGGGTGTCTGGGGGTCCACGGACCACTGGGGGTCCACGGGTGTCTGGGGGCCCACGGACCACTGGGGGTCCACGAGACAATGCTATTTGTGTATTGTGTGTAACTGTGTATTTTCTTTAACTGTTATATTTAATGGCATCAAACAGTAACTTTATTAACTATCATTTCTTGTCTGGTGGACCGCGGGATTTAAAATTATGAATTAGGTGTTCGGTGAGCTCATAAAGGTTGGTGACCGCTGACCTGGAGTGTAATTCTTGCGTTATTTGGTGACGCTGCTGCTTGGTGACGCCCTCGCTGGTGACGCCCTCCCTGGTGACGCCCTCGCTGGTGACGCCCACGCTGGTGACGCCCACGCTGGTGACGCTCCTACCTGGTGACGCCCTCGCTGGTGACGCCCTCGCTGGTGACGCCCACGCTGGTGACGCTCCTACCTGGTGACGCCCTCGCTGGTGACGCCCTCGCTGGTGACGCCCACGCTGGTGACGCCCTCGCTGGTGACGCTGCTGCTTGGTGACGCCCTCCCTGGTGACGCTGCTGCTTGGTGACGCCCTCGCTGGTGACGCCCTCCCTGGTGACGCTGCTGCTTGGTGACGCCCTCGCTGGTGACGCCCTCCCTGGTGACTGAGGCTGCTGGTGATACCGTTCTCGCGGCTGGTGATATGCTTGAGGCTCGGGAAGCCTTCGTGTGTTGTGACTGGTGATAAGGAGTCTCGGAGGAGCGCACGTGTGTGTGTGTGTCGTGCTGCTAATTGGGACGAAGAGACACGTGAAGGGGAGAGATAGTGACGAGACGAGACGTGGAGGGAAAAATGTGAACCTTGAGTCTGGTGTGTCGAGTCTCTCAATATATGTCTCCCTATTACTTCCTATTTCTCTATCTCCATATTTCTGTTTATCTGTCTTCCTGTTGAGGGGAACTAGTGGTCGGTAAATGGTTAGGGAGTGGAGTAGCAAGAGTGTTTTTTTCTGGCTGTCTTTATTGTCAACACTCTTTTGCCACTACCACTACTACCCAACACTACCACTATCCAGCATTACCACCACCCAACACTACCACTATCCAGCATTACCACCACCCAACACTACCACCACCCAACACTACCACCACCCAGCATTACCACCACCCAACACTACCACCACCCAACACTACCACCACCCAACACTACCACCACCCAACACTACCACCACCCAACACTACCACCACCCAACACTACCACCACCCAACACTACCAACACCCAGGTAGACGCTATGCACAGTTTCAAATGTAGATATTAGCGCCAAAGATAATGAAAAGGTGAAACCCGAGAGGTGAAGCTCAACCGCCGCAAGGAGAGTTAGGCGACCACTAACACACAGAGAGCCCTGGCGAGGGGTGCAGGGCGTGACGCAGTAACAAAGACTAGAGGAGACAGGAAACATGCAGGAGAAAATGGATTAGCACATAATTGATGACGGAAGGGATTGGAGATGTGGGAGTGGGATGCCTACACATAGAGGAATGGGTAGAGGTGCTGTGGTGGAGAGGGGGTGCTGCGACCTGGGAGAGGAATGGTGTGGTGTGGAGGGTCCACAGGAAGAGGAGGTAGAGGGAGACTTAGAGGGAAGGAGAACCCCTCAAAAAAGCACCAATAGACAAACTGACACCCCCCCCCCCCCATCTCCATACAAATCTATTTAGACACTAAAACCCGCACTAAGGCGAAATGTAAGATGAAGATTCTGGAGGAACTGCGCCAGAAAAGCCGGAGGATGTGTGTGTGTCGGGCCGCTGGCAGAGATGGGACTCTTGGTAATCTCCAGACATCAAATGGGACGTGTGTTTTGGCGCGTCGCTCATGTAATGTAACCTTAGATGTTTGTGGAGTGTGTGTGTGTCTGGCGGAGCATCGCTCGCCTCCTCTGGTCAAGGACATCACTCTCCTTCCCCTCTCTCTCTCTCTGTCTGTCTGTCTCTCTCTCTCTCTCTCTCTCTCTCTCTCTCTCTCTCTCTCTCTCTCTCTCTCTCTCTCTCTCTCTCTCTCTCTCTCTCTCTCTCTCTCTCTCTCTCTCTCTCTCTCCTCTCTCTCTCTCACTAACGGTTTTCGTACTCTGGGGATTAAGAGAAGTAATCATGTTACCGACATTCATGGTAAAGAATTCCATGATTATTGAAGGGTACATTTTCTACAACGTTTCGTTCCGCTCTGGAACATGTTCAAGTAAGGAATGAATACATGAATAGATAAGATATAAATTTATCTTAAATACACATATGCAAGAGATGAAGATGAGGGAGGAAAGGAGGGGGGGGGGTTGAAGTAAGGTGAAGTAATCACTCACAGGTGAAGAATTAGGTGGAATAATGGGGATGGATGCCAATCACACACTGGGTAAGACGGTGGGCGGGAAGACCTCGGAGGAGATGTGGCCGTTATCCATTGCTGTATGGTGAGGTTCAATGTTGTTGTTGTTGTTAAAGATTCGCTACCTGGAACAAAAAGTTCCAAGTAGCACGGGCTATGGTGAGCCCGTAGTGCCGTGTGTGAGATTCAAGTTCAAGTATGTTTACTGAGACAAGCAAAAAATACATCTCAGAGGGATACAGTAGCTTAGGCTATTTCTACCCCGCCCAATAGTGAGGTCTGGATTCGAGCGCAGACAAGGTATCGAACTCAATACTCTGCATATTTAAGGTGGGTCTTTTTCCTTTTATGAGTATAGCTGTACCAATATTGGAAGGACTCCACAGCGCACCACAAACTCTGTCTCCATCATTGATTGTGATTTACTGAGGCTGGTCTGAACACACCACCACACACAAAGGCAAACGGAAAAGTCAAAGATAATTAGGAAGGAGAAGGACCTGGATGGTGGTGGAGAGTCCCTGCAGGGAGACCTGGATGGTGGTGGAGAGTCCCTGCAGGGAGACCTGGATGGTGGTGGAGAGTCCCTGCAGGGAGACCTGGATGGTGGTGGAGAGTCCCTGCAGGGAGACCTGGATGGTGGTGGAGAGTCCCTGCAGGGAGACCTGGATGGTGGTGGAGAGTCCCTGCAGGGAGACCTGGATGGTGGTGGAGAGTCCCTGCAGGGAGACCTGAATGGTGGTGGAGAGTCCCGGCATGGAGACCTGGGAGGTGGTGGAGGAAGGGAGTAAGGAAGGGGTAAAGAGTGGCGCGAGTGCGGGGAGAGGACTAACACAGCCGAGAACAAGGTGGCGAGGAAATATCGTTATCTACGCAGGAATTTAGGTAAATGTTAAGCTGAGACACTTGAGGAGGTACGTGAGCTGATAACGCCAGAGATAACATTGTTTATGGCGGGGAGACGAGTGCCAACCGGAAGGCTGGGGTGGGAAGGGAAGAGAGAGAGAGACAAGGGTAGTAGCGGGGGAAACAAGGGAAGAAAAAGGGAGAGACAAGGGAAGAAAAGGGAGCAGAGAGGAGGAGAAGGAAGGTTAGTGGTAGAGGAGGAAAGGGGAGGCAAAAAAGAGCAGTGCATCTTTTTTTGCTTTATTTTGAAATCGCCACAAAAGCAAAGCAAAGAACCCTTGTTGAAGGAGTCGTGGAGGGAGGTGTGACCAGAGTGCCATAGTTGGATAACAACATAAGACTGAAGGTAACTGCAGAAGGCCTATTGGCCCACACGAGGCAGCTCCCACCTATAACCACCCAATCCCACTCACACACATGTCCAACCCACGCCCGAAACAATCAAGGGACGCCACTTCCACCACGCCACGCGGCAACCGGCTCCACAAATCAACAGGTTCGGTACTAGTTCGGTAACAACCCTGTTACCGAACCAGTACCCACCCAGGTCCTTCCTAATTCCAAATACATCCAACCCACACCCACCGCCCCGCGCTCCGTCCTGTGTTGATACTTTCAACACCCTAATAATATCCCCTTCGCTACGCCCACTCATAAATTACATTCTAGCGAATATAATTTAAGTTTTGTCAATCTTTCTTCATATGACAGGTTTCTAATTTGGGGGATTAACTTGGATATCCTACGCTGGACGCGTTCTAGTGAATTTATATCCATTCTATAGTACGGCGACCAAAACTGAACTGCATAATCTAAATGGGGCCTAACCAGAGCATGATATAGCTGAAGAACAACACCAGGAGTCTTGTTACTAACGCTTCGGTTAATAAATCCCAGTGTCCTATTTGCCTTATTACGAACATTTATGCATTGACTTCCTGATTTTAAATTGTTACTAATCATAACTCCCAGATCCCTTTCGCAATCCGATTTCGCAATCTCAGCACCATCTAGCTCGTATCTTGTAACTCTATCATCATTACTAAACCACAAAACCTTACATTTATCAGCATTAAACTGCATAGCCAATCTTTTCACCATTTCAAAACCCTATTTAGATCGTCTTGAAGTGATAGTGAGTCCCTTTCCGTTTTTATTACCCTCCCGATATTTGTATCATCGGCAAATTTGCATAAATATTGCTGCTCAAACCTGAATCTAAATCATTTATATATATATAATGAATAACAGAGGTCCCAGGACAGAGCCTTGAGGCACTCCACTTACATCATTTTCCCCATGCTGACTTAACCCCATTTATACTAACTGTTTCCTTTGGTATAGCCATGCCCTAATCCAACTTAATATAGCACCCCCAATACCGTGAGCCTCTAACGTTTTAATCGGTCTTTCATATGGCACTATAAAAATGGATGGATGAAGCAAGAAAGGAAGAGAAGAGAGTTAGGCGAGGAAGCGACATGAGTGTGTGTGTGGAGGAAGAAGCGAGGGAGAGAAGAGTAGATGGAGAAGATAATGCCGCAGTATGAGAGTGAATCACGCTACCTTGAGGAAACTCTCGCCTCATTACCACATTGTAAGACCATTATCGTCCTAAAGAAAGGAAGACCATATAAAAGAATAAGAGAGGACGAGGAGGAAGGGACGTAATGAGAAAGTAAGACGAGGCAGAGGACAATAAACCGTGCGAGCGGGAGGATGAATGGATAATGTAAACAATGATGAAAAGGAAGCCGCCGAGACAGACGAACAGAGTAAGGAGGGAGGGATAATAACGAGCGAAGGAGAGAGAGAGAGAAGAGATAGAAGAAGCTTAATAAATCTGATGTAAAATTATTTACCGATTACCCCCCCCCCCACACTGGCCAGGAATCTGCACCTGGTGACGCGTGAAACAAAAACTGAACCCTGTAGGAGAGAAGAAAGAGGGGGGAATGATCCCAACATACAAGATACTGAGGAGAATTGATAAGGTGCTCAAGAACAGCATCTTGAAAATTAAAGTAGGACGCTGGAAACGCAAATGAGTCGAAGAAAATGTAAGGAAGCTCTCGTACCCTGTACGGGTGGTCAAGTGGAATGCTCTAAAATGAAGAAGTTGTAGGAGCCACCTCCATCCACAACTTTAAGGCCAGCAGGCCAAAGATTTTGAACGTTTAAATAGTAAAGATGGAATGCAAAGGTTAGATCAGAGCTAGTAGGCGGGGCATGAAGAGCTAGACCTCACTCTGCCATAGAGAGTGTTAGGTAAGTGCCACCACTACTACCCCCCCTCCCTGGCTGCCTCGACCCTTGTGACTATGTGGTCATAATGACACCTTGTCGAGCACTGGGGCCTCACCTTGTCTTCATTCTCATCTATACATTTGCTGTCACACTACTTAGCACACCTGCTTTTACACACCTGCTTTCACGCACCGGTCCTCATTATCGTCTACACATCTATTCTGCCTCTCATTCAAACATCCGCCACCTCACATTTACATACCTGCATGCATACACCTGTCCTCCCTCTCATCAACACCCCTTATCTGATCTTTCATCTGCTTACATTCTTACTCGAACTCGCTCGGTCACACACACACACACACACACACACACACACACACACACACACACACACACACACACACACACACACACACACACACACACACACACTTTGTAACACAGCATCAACATGGGTTCAGGGATGGCAAGTCCTGCCTCACAGGGTTACTGGAATTCTACGACCAGGCAACAAAAATCAGGCAAGAAAGAAAGGGGTGGGCAGACTGTATATTTTTCGATTGCCAGAAAGCCTTTGATACAGTACCACACAAGAGGCTAGTGAAAAAGCAGGAGATGCAGACTAGAGTGAAAGGGAAGCTACTCCATTGGATAAAGAAGTACCTAAGCAACAGGAGACAACGAGTCAGTGTGAGGGGTGAGGTCTCAGATTGGCGAGACGTTACAAGTGGAGTCCCGCAGGGGTCAGTCCTTGGACCTATACTGTTTCTGATATATGTAAATGATCTCCCAGAGGGTATAGACTCGTTTCTCTCAATGTTTGCTGATGATGAAAAAATTATGAAGTGGACTGAAACAGAGGATGATAGTAGGAGGCTACAAGATGACTTAGACTGAATGAATGGTCCAACAAATGGCTGCTAAAGTTCAACTCGAGTAAATGCAAAGTAATGAAACTAGGCGGTGGAAACAGGAGGCCAGACACAGGATACAGAATAGGAGATGAAGTACTTAATGAAACAGACAGAGAGAAAGATCTAGGAGTTGATATCACACCAAACCTGTCTCCTGAAGCCCACATAAAAAGAATTACGTCTGCGGCATATGCGAGGCTGGCTAACATCAGAATAGCGTTCAGGAACCTGTGTAAGGAATCATTCAGAATCTTGTATACCACATATGTAAGACCAATCCTGGAGTATACGGCCCCAGCATGGAGCCCGTACCTTGTCAAGCACAAGACGAAGCTGGAAAAAGTTCAGAGGTATGCTACTAGACTAGTCCCAGAACTAAGAGGCATGAGTTACGAGGAAAGGCTGCGGGAAATGCACCTCACGACACTGGAAGACAGAAGAGTAAGGGAAGACATGATCACTACCTACAAAATTCTCAGAGGAATTGACAGGGTAGAAAGGATAAACTGTTTAACACGGGTGGTATGCGATCAAGAGGACACAGGTGGAAGCTGAGTACCCAGATGAGCCACAGGGACGTTAGAAAGAACTTCTTCAATGTCAGAGTAGTTAACAGATGGAATGCAGTAGGCAGTGATGTGGTGGAGGCTGACTCCATACACAGTTTCAAATGTAGATATGATAGTGCCCAGTAGGCTCAGAAATCTGAGCCTACTGAGAGCCGAGACCAAAGAGCCAGAGCTCAATTCCCGCAAGCACAACTAGGTGAGTACACACACACACAGTTACCTGCAAACAAAGTGAGTTCGCAAACGAAACATAAATCACTTAGAAAATTGTTGATGCTGCGTTTTTCACAGACTACCGGACATGGAGGAAAACAGACGAATGAAGTTAGCATAGCCGTGCTTCATGAAGGGAAGCGGACATTTTTTGGAAGTTACATTCACAGACTCAAATAGATATAACATCTGTCGCAAACCCACAGAAACAGGTGTTGGCTTTCAGAAGAGTGTGTTCTGAGTTACACAAACACTGTAATACATAACCCCAGTGTGGAATCCCCACTTGAAATAACGTAAAACCAAGCTAGTTGATGTACAAAACTTGCTGCAAAACTGGCCCCTTAAAATAGGTTAGGTTCGAGATTAATGGGAACGCTGGAAATAGAAGGGGTAATAGATGACGTGACCATAACATAGATGATGTTAAGAGACCTCACAGTCTCACCTCGCTCTTCTCCTTCTCCTCCTCCTCTTCTTCTTATTCTCATCAATCTTCTCCATCTCCTCATTCCTCTTCCTACAACATTTCCTAATATTCCTCCTCCTCCATTTCTTCTTACTCTTATGTCCTGTCTTCTCTCCAGATCTTCCTTCGTATTCTCCTCTTCCTGCTCCTCATCCACTACTTGTTCCTCCAACTATTATCTTGCTCCCCAGCCATGACTGGGAAGGGAGGCTGCACAGACCTTCATATCGGATACTTTAAGAAGTCATCAAATATTCTGCTGATCCTTTATGGTTTACCAAGGTATTGGCCATTGTTAACCCCCCCCCCCCTCTCCTGTCTCTCTCTCTTTATTCCCTTCCCACTACCCCTTCCTCTTCTCCTCACCCCGTTCCATCAACTACCCTTAACTACACTCACACATATATACACTAGGGGGAGGGGGGTGGTACCAGGTGGTGCACGGGTCTCTCTCTCCCCCCTCCCTCTTACCCACTCTCTCTAAATCTCCCTCTTCATCTTTCTCCCCCTCTCTTTCCACCGTCCCTTTCTCTACATGTCTCCCCCCCTTTCCCTCAACACATCCCCTATCCCCCCTCACACACATATCCTGCCCCTCTCCTTCCTTCTCCACCGTCTCTCCCAATCTCCCGCCTCTCTCACTTCTTCACATCTCCCCTCTTCCCCCTTTTCTCCCCTCTCCTCCTTTCTTTCTTCTCTCCATATCTTTGCCTCTCCGTTGTTGTTGTCAAGACGTTGTTCACCCTGTCTCTGCAGGTCAGACAGTAAGACAGACAGACAGACCGACAGACATTTCTGTCTTTCTCCGCCTCTTTCTCCATCTCTCTCTCTCTCTCTCTCTCTCTCTCTCTCTCTCTCTCTCTCTCTCTCTCTCTCTCTCTCTCTCTCTCTCTCTCTCTCTCTCTCTCTCTCTCTCTCTCTCTCTCTCTCCTCTCTCTCTCTCTCTCTCTCTCTCTCTCTCTCTCTCTCTCTCCTCTCTCTCTCTCTCTCTCTCTCTCTCTCTCTACTCTCTCTCTCTCTCTCTCTCTCTTCTCTCTCTCTCTCTCTCTCTCTCTCTCTCTCTCTCTCTCTCTCAAAGGTAGTATGATAAGTCATTGTCATCGTCAGAATTTGCCTCATGGTAATCTACAAATAAAATAAATAAAATTGCAATTGACCTGTTGACTGTGACTGGTGTGGCCCTCTATCTCTCAGGCTGTCTCTGTGTATGTGTTCTCTGTCTGAATCTGTATGTGTTGAGGTGTCTCTATCTGCGGCGGCAGCTGTAACAGTGGCCCCTTGATAATGGCCGCCAGAGTCCTCACGGATAGACGCAGTGGGGAAGAGTTCATCGAGTACTGGCACTCGGGAGGGTGGGTATCGAGGCCTGGCACCGGGAAGGTGGGTATCGAGGCCTGGCACCGGGAGGGTGGGTATCGAGGAATCGAGTAGTATGCGGGCAGTGACGCAGTGATAATGACATTATAAACACCTAATACTGTCTATTACAGGCAAACTATGTTAGATTTTTTATTTTAATTTGTAGACATCGATGTATTATGGTTTAAATTCAGAAAACATAGAACAACGAAAAACAAAAATAATCCCCAGGTCCAGTTAATGTTATATTTCAAAGAATCGTCGTGGGGGGTTACCACTGACACTGTCAAGTAGCACTCGTTTCACTTGTGCCAACGTCGACCCGACCTTGTTGGGCACACACCTTCTGAAATCAAGGTACAAAGTTGTGTGAGGCAAGCTCCAAGCCAGACTCGTACAGACATATCATTTTATAGATCTGGATTGTTCTCAATCATTAATATAAAAGGATTAAATTATATTTCAGTAATATTCTCACATCAGTATTACAAGCTTTACAAAGAATTTGGTTAACAGGAGTTGACTATACGAGTATAAATAAGTTAACGAAGACAGTTATTTCGATTGTATTTCCTAATGAAGTGTTCCATAATGCTAAAACATATTAGAAATTAACTCAGTATATTTTGTTTAAATTGCAATTACAAAAACATGTGAAAGGTAAAATGCTTACTAACAAGCAATTTCCCAGATAATAACCTTGTTACCTAACAGGTATAGGCTTGTGAGCACTCATAAACTTAATAATCCCGCCAGGCCTATAACCAGCTCGATAGGCTCGATATTATATAAGGTTTCCATTAGTTAGTCAAAATTCTAAACCTGGTTACAGAATACAAAAAAATTCTTATTCCAAAATAAAGAAAATTATGAAAACCTGACTACAATGAAGGAATGTGTTTTGAGTTCACGATGATGAGTATCGATGGTGTTCACGATGATGAGTATCGATGGTGTTCACGATGATGAGTATCGATGGTGTTCACGATGATGAGTATCGATGGTGTTCACGATGATGAGTATCGATGGTGTTCACGATGATGAGTATCGATGGTGTTCACGATGATGAGTATCGATGGTGTTCACGATGATGAGTATCGATGGTGTTCACGATGATGAGTATCGATGGTATTCACGAAGATATCCGATGGTGTTCACAAAGATATCCTGGGACTTTATCTTTCGAGCTACTGAAATGTGATTTACCATTTCCAGTGCTCGCCTTATATGATAAAATTTTTGTTATTACTTAAATTTTAATAATAAGTAATGTGGTACGCAATTTAGAATGCTAATGAACTTCCCTTTATCTTTAGTTTTACGTAATTTATTCATAGAATTACATGTTAATTCCGCAAATATTACGATATAAATGCATATTAGATAATCCTGAAAAACCATTGAATGTGAACATAACAGCGAACACTGTAGATAAAGATATATTATTATTATTATTATTATTATTATTATTATTATTATTATTAGTGGAAGTAGTTCTGTTTAATGTAAATAATGTTGTTTTTATATATAAGTTTTTCGACGGGTGGTGAGATGATGTAGCGGTGGTAGACTATGGTGGGTTGGTTCATCATGGTTGAGTCTTGGACATTAACCAGTCTATGGCTGGAAAGGCGAGGCTTATAAGCTAAATCTCAACCCTATAGATATATCTACGTGTGTGCGTATGTGTGCGCGCGTGCGTGCTCAAACACACACACACACACACACACACACACACACGCAGACACACACACACACACGCAGACACACACACACACACGCAGACACACACACACACACACACACACCACACACACACACACACACACACACACACACACACACACACACACACACACACACCAATTCTGAAATATGAGACACCTGCGAGGAGTCGTTATCTCGTTAAACACAGCACAAAACTGTGACCAAACAAGAGGCCTGCCACCTGGCCAGTGTCAGCGTTGAGACGTGTGAGCCACGAGGAAAGGCTCAAGTGATAAACTTCATACCACTTAATAAAATATTTAGAGGGAGACATGTTTTCCGCATACAAAATTATGTTGGAAAAAATTTTTAGGAGAACATGCAAAAATTGGACAATATCCGAGTCGCCTTCCAGTACTAGAAGCCTCCGGAACATTCTACACAACCTGCATGAGAACAACCCTGAAATAGATAGCGTCTGAAAAGGCACGAATTAAATCTTGAGAAAGTTCAAAGAATGCAACATGACTTATCCCAGTAATGAGGGTACTTAAAGCAAGAAAATGACAGAATTTAACCCCTGCCACCATGGAGGAAAGAGCAGATATCAGTTACCAGCGTTCACCATATTGATGGGAATTGACAGAGTTGACAAATAGGCAGTGTTGAAAATGGGGAAACGATAGACCCAGGAGACACGTGTACTCACTTAGTTGGGCTTGCGGGGGTTGAGCTTCGGCTCTTGGGTCCCCGCATGTGGGAGCTGGACATAGCGGAGGTGGCCAGCATTACACAACTTCTTTAGTGCCAGAGTCACCAGCAAGTAGAACTAATTACATGAAAATATTGAGATAAGTTCAATTAGCAATTTCAAAATGTAAGTTGGACGAGAAACATTAGGAATGAAAATCATTGTGTTCATTAATCAAAAGCTGGGGCTAGGGAGCTGATGCTCGACTCAGCAGGCACACCACTGTGAGGACCTTTAGGCGAGCACAGAAAACGTTTGATCCTCACCTTTTTAAGAAACTGCCTCTACGAGTTTAGATAAGTTTCCCTGCCTACCCAAGCCACCTAACTTGACCAAAGCGGCGTGAAGGTTTCCTGGCCCGTGGTTGCAAGAGGTGCCCCCCCCACCCCCTCCCCCTCTCCCCAACCCCACCACCCCAACCCCCCTCCCCCACCCCTCCTGCCAGGGGGGGGGCGGGCGTGGGGCGCCTCCCCCATTCCTACAGAACACTATGAACCTGATTATGAACTCATTATAAATGAGTGCTATATTGCCAACTTTAATATCTTATAAAGAACTTGAAAATTCTTTAATCAAATTTCGGTTTTATTTGAGTGATTAGAATCAATTTCGAGCTTAAATTATGAAATATTAATAATATATGATATTAGAACACTCATGAAAGATTTTTTTTGGCACAGAGTGTTGCAAACGACGCATTAATTTAAATAAAGAGTGACTAATGATAAATAAGTTGTATAAATAACCTACAAAAATATTTTTGTTAAACAAACTTTTGAGTCTATTTAAAAGACTTGTGACACACTTTGAAGAAGGTAATATATGGTTAAAGGAAGGGAATGAACAGAGGATTTTGACCCAGTTAACACATGATTGTCTGGGTTAACAATCCCAGACAATCGGGATTGTTAACCCAGATTGTCAATATTTGGGTTAATATATAACCCAAATATTGTCTATATTTTGTCTCTATATGATTGTCTATATTTTCTTCTCCATGACGCATTATACGTGTGTGTGTGTGTGTGTGTGTGTGTGTGTGTGTGTGTGTGTGTGTGTGTGTGTGTGTGTGTGTGTGTGTGTGTGTGTGTGTGTGTGTGTGTGTGTGTGTGTGTACTCACCTAATTGTGCTTGCGGGGGTTGAGCTCTGGCTCTTTGGTCCCGCCTCTCAACCGTCAATCAACTGTGTGTGTGTGTGTGTGTGTGTGTGTGTGTGTGTGTGTGTGTGTGTGTGTGTGTGTGTGTGTGTGTGTGTGTGTGTGTGTGTGTGTGTGTGTGTGTGTGTGTGTGTGTGTGTGTGTGTGTGTGTGTGTGTGTGTGCGTGTGTGTGTGTGTGTCCATAATAATCAAGTCAGTGTGCACCTCTTCTAGCTCTTTTTTGTAATGATTTTTCATGTGTAACTCGAGGATGTGATGTGATGTGACACGGCCTCATCATGGTGCTAGCGTGTATGGTGTGTGTACCATACATGATGTGTTGGAACTCGTCATTGTATACTTAATGTATGTCGCATTCATACTCAGTGTTGTCAACGAACAATGGCTGTATTGTCCAGTATGTTACTGAGTGTTTTTTTTTCACATTTATTCTTTGTAATTTTGTCAAACATTTTGTATATTTTTAAAAACATGTTTTTATATTTTTCATAATGCCTGTGTATTTTTTTTTTTGTCATAGCCGTTGTATTGCGTGTAGAGGGTCGTGTGTATTTGTTTGTGAGGTATACTTAGTGTTGTCTTTGCCTAGTGTATGGGACACCTGTCATGGCTTGCTTGGTGGATAGTTAGTATTTCTCTGTATGAATAAGATTGCTCGGACCAGCACGTTTATTTCATAATATTTCCATGTTTATCATACTCTGTGTACAAATGTAATATTTCTCAAATATTTCTCAAGTTCGTATTGTGATTTATTCATTTATTGAACTCGCTCTCTAACTCATGTGTAAGATAATACTGTATTATGCATTTACGTATATATTTAGGCTGGGAATATAAGGTAAGTAATTCATTAAAACACAATATATATTTATATTAAATATGTCGACTATTTACATTTCAATATATATTATCAGGAGGGAGGGAAATGTCCGGGGGAAAGCGCCAAGTCATTACGACTATATAGCACTGGGAAGGGGTCAGGTTTTGGGATGGGACGGGAGGATAGGAATGTTGTCAAACCACTTGGACGGTCGGGTATTGAACGCCGACCTGCATATAGCGAGACCGTCGCTCTACCGTCCACCCCAATTGGTGGATTTCAGTATATATTATCAGGAGTGAACAGGCACTCGTGTACCTGAGCCGTACCCGCCGCTTAATAGGACCTGGTGTACAGTGCTCCTCGGGCACCACCACCCTCACCCACCAGTCATCCACTGCTCACTGCAAGAGCACCCAGCATCATCCAACACCATCCGACATCATCCAGAACTCTCCAACACCATCCGCCACCATCTATAACCATCCACCTACGAAGCAGCGCCTCCCCCCACCCCCTCTGCCCCTGCCTCCCCCCACCCCCCACCCGCCAGCCAACCATTTAAAGTTACAGTAGTGATTG